AGAAAGTCATTTTGTTTCGAGGTACACCAGTGACTTACAGGGAACTTTGCCTCAGACTCCCCAAATGCAAAAAAATGGTGCTGAGAATAGCTCCATCAATGTTAAAGACAGAGCTGTCACAATTCAAAGTAGTTTAAGCCCTAGAGATCAATTTCCTCATTTATATTAGAAAAAGTGGTAACATGATTAGCCCTATAGCTAGTCTGTAGCAAAGAAGGGTTAGATGTTAGGTTTCCAGCTAATAGACCTCTCACTCCATCATTCTGTGAAAGGACAAGGAATAGGAAAATAAGGACAAATCAAGTAGACTGCCACCTTTGGCAACATCATCTGTGAACACTTAATAAATTCAAGTATGAGCTATAACACAAAACATTCCACAGTAACTAAAAAGCAAAATCAACAAACACACTAGTCATTCATTATACCCTTAAGTCTTCATGAACAACTCCAAAAGGGTGAAATTCCCCAGAAACATATAAAAAGTCACCGCAATCAAGACAATCAAAATTCAAATAACTTCTTTAGTGTCATTAAACTGAGCATCTAGTTTATTTTTACTCAACCCTGATCTGGAACAGACTTCAGGAGGCTATCAGACAAATAAAACATAGGTTAGAATAAATTTAAAAAAATAAAAACATGAAAATAAAACAAGAACAGGGAGAACAAAACGAAGCCAAGAATGAGGCTTAAAAAACAAGTACAACAGTAAGTCCTACAAATTTGGCTCTAAACTTCCAAAAAGCCAACAGGAAAATGGAGACCTAGTGAACAACACAAATTATAACAGCCAGGTAATAAAAACAGACTTAAAAGCTTAGGAAAAAATACAATTATTCTTGGTTGCATATCTTTGCCCTGAAGTCCTTATAAAGAAGGCATTGTGTAACATAAAGATGTATTTTACATATAAAATAACATATATTTCTGTAGTCACTAACAAAATGTTTTATGGAATTATTTTTATTCTAACCTTCAAGATAAGCCTATGGTAACAGTTTACAGAGTTTTTTGGTTTTTGGCTTTTTGTTTTTAAGGGAAAAGAGGTCTACAAACTATCCAGGTACTCAGAATACTGATGATCTAAGAATACATTTAAGAGAATAGCTGGAAAAGAATTTTTTCTTTACAGGTACTTACTATAAAAGTTTACAAGCACAAGAGTAAGAAAATGAAAACTAAATTCAGCAAAACTAGGTATAGGTCCAGGAATTCCTAACTAAATAGCAGAACGAAACTCTTAGAAATGAGAAGGAGGAATACAAAGAAAAACTAAAGTGAAGAAGAGAGTGTGGGCGCACAAGCACACACTCAACAGTTCTTGTTATAAACACGAGATAACTGTCAATAAATGCTTCTATTCATACTTCTACAATTAAGAATTAAACACTGAGGTATTTATTGAAACATACAGCTTCCTTTCTAGTCCCTCGATCAAGAAGATGACGTTTTTAAAAAGAATGGTATAGCACAGGGAACTCTACTCAATGCTCTCTGGTGACCTAAATGAGAAGGAAATCCAAAAGAGGGGATACATCTATACGTAAAGCTGATTCACTTTGCTGTACAGTATAAACTAACACAATATTGTAAAGTAACTACACTCCAATCACAAAAAAAAGCCAAAAAAAAAAGAGAATGAAATGCCATTTGCAGCAACATGGATGGACCTAGAGATTATCATACTAAGCTAAGTAAATCAGAAAAAGACAAATACCATATGATACCACTTACATGTGGAATCTAAAACATGACCCAAATGAACTTATTTATGAAACAGAAACAGACTCACAGGCATAGAAAACAAACTTATGATTACCAAAGGGAAAAGGGGGTGGGGGAGGGATAAATTAGGAGTTTGCAATTAGCAGATACAAACTACTATATATAAAATAGATAAACAAGATCCTACTGTATAGCACAGTGAACTATATTCAATACCCTGTAATACACCATACGGAAAAATATATGAAAAAGAATATACGTAGATATATGTATAACTGAATCACTTTGGTGTTAACCAGAAATTAACAAAACATTGTAAATCAAAGTATTTATACTTCAAATAAAAAAAAAAATTTTTAAGATGATGTTTAAATTCCTGCTCATTCCACAGTGATGTTACTAAACAACGATATAGGTCAAACTCAATGTAGTGCAGATTTTCCAAAGTAGTAGTTACATGTACCAAGACAGGAAGACATACAAATATAACATTTTTGGATAATTTTCCAAAAAGAACTTAAAATAAAAAGGTATAACAGTTTTAAATTAAACATAAAATCAGTTAACCAAAAAAAAAAAAACAAGGAAAAGGAAAGAACTTCTCTAAACATGTCTCATCCAGCAATATTAGAATTTACTAACTGTAAAATGATAAACACAAAATTCTCAACAACATATAAAACCAATCATTCTGCTACTGCTAGCATGTGCCTAGGATTTACAATGAATCATTGATTTTCCTCTTGGAACATAGGAAATAAGGAAAAACACACATGAATTCTTGGTGAAAGCTTGTAATTTTCAGAGAACCATCCACTTGTAATTTAAGCAACATCATTTAAAAACAATTCATTTCAACAGTCTTCTCTACTAAATATTTTCATTATGGCTGCTCAGACTAAATCTACTGACTTTATCTCTGACAGTACTTCAGCAAAGGAGTGAAATACTAGACAGGCTACTGTAAGAGGTAAAAAGTTGAAATTCACCAGCTGGGTCAAGCTCCTGAAGAGTTAACTAACTTCTTATTCCAGGACTCAAGAATTATAAATCTGGTTATAAGATTTGGGAGGGAGTATTAAATCACAAAGAAAAGGCTTCTCAGCATCCAGAGAACCTCCCGGTTTTTTTTCTTTTTTAATCAAAGCAATGCGTCCACTCTCACTGGCCAATTGCTGAAAATCTTTAAAATACTCAGAAGGTCAACAAACACCTGGCTAAATACTAGCCTTAGGAGTCAATTGGGTAACCTTGCTTAACAAGAACTTAAAAGTATTTACACTTTACTGGTGGTTTTGTCAATAAGTTCATATATATCATAATATGCAAAAGGTACATTTATTTGACAGTACTTTTAGTGTCCAAATTGTCCTTACTTTAATATGATCTGAAGATGGAAACTCAACTTTTTAAAGCATTATTTAGTTGATTTCATTGTAAGAGGATTAAACTGATCCCAAAAAGTTTCCTAAAATGATCCCTCAGTTGTCCTTATAATTCACACCCTATCAATCAACAAACCATTATGTGAGAAGAAGTGAAACGAAGTGAAATGGACTAAGAGGTCTTTTCAAATCACTAGACTTACCCCATGAAATAAAAAAAGTTCTCTCTTAGGTATTTTGATTTCACCGGGTTGGAACAGTTACCCACAACATTACCAAAACTCAGAAATGTTTCCAATACAATGTATCCTGAAAAGATTACGCTTATAGAGTCTAGGTGTTTTTCTTCATCAAATACACAAAATAAGTACAGGAAACTTAAAATGTTTCAACTACAGTATGTTACACAAAATTACTTTTAAACACAAAATATTCAACTGTTAACCAAGATTTCTTAAAACAGTGGTTTACGCAGCAAAGTCAGTGGGGATAATGCCACAAATACTGGCAAGCTGATTTAAGCTACTAATCCATTTAAGGAACGGTAACTATGTTACAGCAGTAGCAAGGCTCTGAAATTTATTTGCTTTAGACCTGAATATAGAAATGGACTCTTGAGCACAGTAAACTAACAAATGGTAATGGAACTTGGTCTATGAGGAAAAAATACAGCAAAATTATCCAGATTTTTTCACTCAAAATAGAAACAAAAAACAAAATTTCATACTCGGATACAGTGTTATCCATGTGAATAACATACACAAAACTGAAAAAAAAAAAAAGGAAATTTACTTATGCTTAAAAGCATAGCTGTCTCAACGAATTCTCCAGTGAAAACCTTAGTCACCTTTTTATTTCAGGCAAGGGAAAGCCAATTATTCCAACATATCCACCTATTTCAGCCTTCTCTAGTAATCCAACCTTTACAACATCCCTACCCAAAAAGGAAATGAAAGAGGATCTACTAGTCAACTCCCCTGCCCTTGTTTTCCAACTACTCTGTTTACTCTCTCATAAGTCTCGATAAATGTACATTGATCTATCTTTAAGGAGATATATTTTACTTCCTTATCTGTCAGGAGCAGAATGCAGGGTCAGGAGGGAAGAACAAGAGTAAAGCACCTCTGGCTCAACCAGGTCCATCTAAAGTGCCACACAAAGCTTATGAATAATTTTCCTCAAACCAACAGATTTTGAAAATCCAGTACAAATTTATCCCAAATATGTCAATACATTTTACTTAACTGAGAGAAAATAAAATCCAAATCTGATAAAGATGGTTTCTTTTAGGGAGAGAATGAGGTTGTGAAAGCAGACTGTGCTTGGAGGCAACCTATAAAATATTCTGAAGCATTTTCTGATTATTAGTCCTTAAAACATACGGAAATCTCAAGTGTTAAAATTAAAGACTGGGTACATTCTCTGCTGAAAGCTCAATTAGAAGCAACTATAAATTCCAGCAAACTTAACTAGGTCAACTAAACTTTTGGCCCCACTTACTAGAAACAACAAAATGTGAAGTCAAGCCTTATAAACTTACAAAAATACCCTACATATAGTTTCAAAAGAAACCTAATTATTCACTCTGAAAGGATGGGTACACTTTTACAAATTGGAAGTCTTCCAGTTTTTTCTTAGTAAGATTTCAATGGGAAATTAACAGCTTTTACCCTACAGCAACACAAACGCTGTACCAAATATACCTTCCATTTCTTCACTAGCAGGTATACATGCATCCACCTACCTAAAATTAGGAAAAAGACAAACGAAAGAAATCTAGGCACCTATATACAAAGAAGCCCATTCTTCCCATGATGGGAATTCACCAACTCTTTCTCTCTTGTCCAAACATTTCCCAAGAATGACATTATGCATGATTCTACTCACAGGGGTAAGTGGCGCTGCTCAGGATCAGCTCTGGTCAGTTCTTCTTCTTCAATATCAGACTCTCCCCCTGAACTACTGTCAGTGACGTCTGAATCAAATGCTCGTTCACTGCACCTCAAGTTAGCTATACCACTGGCTGTAAATCTGTCCAATTCTTCTGAAATCGAATCACTTTTCAGGAAGTTGCTAAGTCCCTCTGAAGTGGCGGTCTCACTGGCAGCTTTTCTCAATGCAGCTTCAGCCTTTCGAGTTAGCATCAACTGGCTCCGGGGCTTCAAGGATTCCAAGTTTGGCAGTTTGCTCAAGGTTTTCTCTAAAAATCCACCCAGCTGATGCTGTATATGCCTCTCCACCTGCTTGGCTTGCACAACCTGTAAGCGTTTCTGTAACCTGCGGGCACGGCTCTCAATATCAGCCTGCCGCCGTAGTAAAGCTGTTATCCTTGTGTCGGAATCTAAAGCACTGAAAAGAATGGAAGACAGGGGAGACTTTTTACCCTCTAATTTGACACCCCCCAAGTTAGAACTGGAGTCTGTGTCAGGTGATAACCTACTGCTTCCTTGAAGTGCGGGCGGCTGTTCCATGGAATTTACAGAAGATTTGTTTGCAGTGCTATTATTGCTAAATATCGTTGTGTGTTCTACATCAAGGCTTCTATGTGGAAGAGTGCAATTGGTCATACCCCCTTTCAAGTCCCCAGATTCAGATGCCACCACTTCACCCCCCTGAAGAGACGATGACGTGAGAGCTCGTTTTCCCCCATTAAGGGGACTGGAATTGTCGTGATCAGAATGTGTTGAACTTTTAGTCAATTTCTTCGCCAACCCATTTACAGGTGCTTGTGGCAGAGCTGTCTGACCACTTGTATTCATGGTTCTAAGATTTTCTAAGGAAAACTCCAAAACTGGCTGTCTCCCCAACAGCTCAGCTCGGAGTTCATAGGACTGAGATAAGAGAGGATGAGATTTAAGTACTGTCTGCTTGCTGAAGACACCTTGCAATTTCAACGATTCCTTTGAGGGAACAGATGTTACATCGGAGCAAAGATAAGATGCCACCAGTGGTTGCAGCTTTCCCAAGTCTTCCTTGTTAGGATTATTTCGGAAGTCTAGACTGGGGTCCTCTGCAGCAATGGCTTTTCTTTTGGTTCCGTTGGCAGCAATAAGGATGTTGGCGTTGCCGTTATTTTCGGCACTGCCAGGGGACAAAGTGGAGGATGGGGGAGCCAGTTTGAACCGGATATGGTGTGCTTCAGCTGCTGCGTCAGTGAGAGCGGGCGCCATCGCAGCCATTCAGCACAGAGAGACAGGAAGTCCAGCCTCTCCCGGTGCCGAGGCCAGCTCCACAGCCCCTTACCGCCTCCCCAGAGAACAGACTAGAAGAGAAAGAAGAAAAGGAAGTTAGAAATACAAGCACGTTAGAAAACAACACACATGTTTTTAATACAAACATTACTTGAGGCTGTTAACCAAACTCTGCCTCCAGAAGAAAAACACTCAAACCAAAAGGGGAGATGTGTTGGGGCAGGGCCACAATCCCTGCACAAGAGAAAGAATTCCATCCTTTTTTGTCACTTGTTACCATAAATTGAAAGTAGCCACAGACTGTTAAAGTTAAATCATCTGCATCTAAAAAATATCTTTAAAACTTCTTGAAATTAGTGAATTTAAAGCAAATGTATCAAACTAAGCACCCAGTAATTAAACAGAAAAGAATTAGTAAGGAACTCCTCATCCCTACCAAAGTTTCTATGCCAATTGTCACAGGTCTGTACATTTTTCTGGCCAAAGGATCCAATGTTCGTCAGCTTCCCACTTCTCTGCAGGACAGATTATACTAAAAGCTTAATTGTATCACACCTGTGTTACCAGTTCACTTCATCAATTTTCTTTTCTTTTGCTGTCCTCAGTATGGCCCACCTCTCAAATTAACTGCCCAACTGATGTGTCTCTTTCCTCTACCCGAAAGCTTCTTGAAATAATAGTTATAGGGCTTCCCTGGTGGCGCAGTGGTTGAGAGTCCGCCTGCCGATGCAGGGGACATGGGTTCGTGCCCCGGTCCAGGAGGATCCCACATGCCGCGGGGCAGCTGGGCCCGTGAGCCATGGCCGCTGAGCCTGCGCGTCGGGAGCCTGTGCTCCGCAACGGGAGAGGCCACAACAGTGAGAGGCCCGCGTACCACAAAAAAAAAAAAAGTTATAAATAGCTGCCTCTGCACTTCTCACTCTTCTATAATCTGGCTTCTACCCCTACTGCTCTGGCAAAGGTCACCAGTAATCTCATCATCAAATCCAATGCTCAAGCCTCAGTCCGCATTCTATCTGACTTCTCTGAAGCCTTAGGTAGTGCTGACCACCCCACTCTTCTTGAAATTCTCCTTTCCAGACGTCCTTGACAACAAGGTCCATTCTTCTGCCCTCTTCTCTCTCAACTCACTTCCTTGGCAACAACCACTATAGCAACATGGTAAGGCCTCCTAGCACTCAGAAAAACATGCTCAGCTGCACTAATCAACATCCCCACCTCTATGTTCCTCAAGCCCCCTGAAACTCAAAACTGACTTTCTTTTTACTCCTTACCCATTTCTATTATCTCAGGTAATGGTATTGCTTTCATTTAGTAACCCAAGCTAAAAACCTCAGCCATTTGCCACTTCTTTATCCCCTTTGATTTATCTGGTCTGAGAGTAAAAGGAAATCTATGCAAAGAACTAAGCCAGCTGTTCCTAAAGTGTGGCCTATGGACTTCTTGAGAACTCGAAGACCATTTCAGAGGTCCACAAGATCAAAGCATTTTCGTAATAATATTAAACGTTATTTGCCTTTTTTCATAGTGCTGACATTCGCAGTAAGGGTGCAAAAACAAGTCTGAGCAAAACTACTGGTACCTTTGCACAATTCAGGGCAAAGGCACCAAACTACTAATAACCACTGGTCACTGTATTCTCTATGCATTTAAAAATAAATCAATAAATAGGTTAGTACCACTGACCTTTGATGTCCTTGGTGAAAATATGAAAATAATGAACTTTATAAAATCTCCACTCGAGTCTTCAGTGTGTGTGTGTATATATATAGGTATACAAATATTCTGTGCAATGAAAGGGAAAGTAGACATAAAGCACTTCTGCTGCTTTAAGAAATCTGAGAAAAAGCACTAGTACAACTGAGTTACAAGCTGAACTAGAAGCTTCCCTTCACAGAACACTATTTTTACTTGGCAGAACAACTGACAAACTATGATTATTCAGACTTGAATAGTCAGCAGACATTTTGTTGAAAATGAACAAAGTGAACCTGTCACTTCAAGGAAATCCAATGATGATGTTTGTTGCCAATGAGAAAATCTGAGTTTTCAAGCAAAAATAAGTATTTTGAAAACGTGTATCCACCACCATGAGCTTGAATATTTCCCCAATACTGAAGTCTTGATTAAGTAGACTACTGCTGATATTAGTGAATGAGAATTTGATACCACATAATGAAATGTGTCAACCTTTGGAAGATCTGCATAACTCAGTGAATGACCAAATGACCAAGATCGTTAGAAACGAGTGCATGGGTAAAGTAAGTGCAAGACAAGCCAATGGATTAATGTGACAGAGTATGAAAAACTCACTGAAACAGCTTTAGATTCCATAGTGCAGCTGACCTTTATGAAACTACTACTTGCCAAGTTTGAGTACAGTATCAAAGGATAGCCACACTTTAAAAGGCTATTTAAATACTCCTCTCTTTTCCAAACTACACATCTGTACAAGGTCAGATTTTCTTTATATAATTCCAAAACAACATATCACAATAGAATGAATGCAGAAGCAGATAGGAGAACCCAGCTGTTTTCTATTAAGCCAGACATAAGGAAGATTTGCAAAACTGGAAAATAATGCTATTCACACTTAATATTTTTTTTGTTCTGGTAAAAAGTTATTTTCATAATATGTAATAGGTTTGTTATTTTTAAATGAATTCGTAAATTTTTTTTTTTTTTTAATTTGGCCACACTGCGTGGTTTGTGGGATCTTAGTTCCCCAACCAGGGACTGAACCTGCGCCCTCGGCAGTAAAAGCGCAGAGTCCTACCCACTGGACCACCAGGGAGTTCCCCGTAAATAATTATTCTTTGAATTTCTCGAAGTTTCTAATCAACTACTGATAATAACCCATAAAAGTTCTCTGTGGTTTTCAACATTTTTTAAAAGTGAAAAGAGGCCTTGGGACCAAAAAGTTTATGAATCACTGAACTAAACGCAACCTCCTCCTCCCTCAAAAAAAAAAAAAAAATGACAGCAACTTCCAATTTGGTCAAACATTTTATCTTTAGATAACAATCAACATAGGACGGTAAGCCCTGTAGTACTACACTAAGATTCTTCATAGTATGGCAATTCAAATCGTTAGTATCGAAATATTTAAGTAAATGACTGAGAAAACATCCGTACAAATACCAATACACTTATAGGTCAAATTTGACTAGTGCTCTATGTAATTGCCAAAATTTTCTCACTCTAAGCTTATAATAACTTTAACAAACATCCTATATTCATTAAACTAGATCTTCTGGGGATTACAGAGTTTTATCCTCATGGACTTTCTAGCATATGGCATTCTGTGTGACTGTTCTACGTCCACTTTTCCTATTTCTGATTTTAAATTTAAAAATAATTCCTAATGTAATAAAAAATAGTTATGTTACACTGGCTGAATTGACAGATGAACCAATGTAAGTTCTTTATTCAAAATACCTCAAGTCAATTTTATAAAAGGTATTTTCTCCCATAAACAAAAATCACTATCTGATCTTTCCCATCAACTCAATATCCTCTTTCGCACTGATATCAATATACAGTTGATACTGGCAATGCAAGGAGGCACATTATCAGTGCCAGATGATTAATACAGCATATGAGAGTAGATGTAGCCTACTACCCCAAAGCACTACAGTTAAGTCTCAGAAATAGCAGGAAACAGCCTCCCTCTGGGGACTCAAGCAAGGGCACAGATGTTACACAGCTTCCACAAAACTTACTGACGAAAACTCATGTTCACACAGTTCAGGTAAAAAGAGGGGTGTAATTAACTTCACACCACAGAGGTACTTAAGCAGTAAACATACCAAAGTTATTTCAGAATTATTCAGTTCTTAAAAATTCACAACTTAAAGAAAAACCTGACTCAAATCCCATCTGTTTCAAGATTTCTCTGACCCTCCGCAAGCAGTCCGAGAACTTGACATTAATCACATACACCTCAAAAGCGAATTTATTTTGCTTACACTCCGTCCTTGGTCTCAATATCCCCATAGGATGCATTGCAAAGAGTAGTTACTAAAACAATTGTCTCAATAAATAGGGAAGGGGAAAAGTGAAGTCTTCAGAAGAAATTCCATTCCTAACTCCTAAATCTTTATCTTTCTACACCAAAACTGCTGTTAAAAATATACATATTAAAAACTACACCCCTCTCCCTTCATTGACTTGAAACGCTGTGCTGAGATGCAATATTACTCCCAAAGACATTCACAGATAAGGGGAGCCAGTCCAGGTTCACATCCTGGCTCCACCTGTATTTAAATTATTTAACTATTCTGTTCCCTCAATTTCCTCGTCTGCAAGAAACAGAGCTGACCTCAGAAGGCTGCTGTGATGATTAAACAAAATACTTTCAATTACTTAACCTAGTGCCTGGCACAAGCACCCATTATTTGCATTGTTATTATAACCTATAGACAAAAAGCAAATATTACTGAAACGAAAAAATGTGAGATGAAAAAAAAAGGTGTTAAAAAATAAAACACATACTATGACCTCATTTCTCTTTTAAAATGTAGGTGATAAGATTCTTTTGTCTTTTATTTTCTGGCTTATGTAATGTTTCCACCATAAACATGTATTGCTTATATAATAAAAGGGAAGCAAGCAAAAATAATGCAAATTCTTAAAGATCCAAAAAATGTGAATAAGGCAAAATATCTTTCTTAAATTTAACATAATGAGCAAAATGTTGATTGAAACGATTCCCATCCCACTTGAATCCCAAAAAACATCACTACTCAACAATTCAGAGCAGAGAAAAACTGTCAGACTTAAGCAGTTTTACAAAAACAGTTTATGATAAATCATCTTTCTCCAAAGAATACAAAGCATTAAAAGCTATAATTACTTACTAATCCTCATAACAACCTGGGTGGTAGGTTTCGGGCTGGGATTATAATTTCCAATTCACTGGTGGGGACAGATAGTAAAGTTATATGGTACATTCAGAATAAAGGAACCTAAAATATTCCAACTTTTTAGTTCATCTAATAAACCACAATCTGACCAAAAAAAAAAAAGATGGAGCTAATGTACCTGCTGTCACTGACATAAATTAAGATTC